GGCTTCACTTTCTGTAGTCTTGTATTGTACGTGGTATGATAACATGCAGTAAGTGTGTGTTTGATTAGTAACTTGAGCCGCTTAATGCTGTTTGCTGTCGTCTCTGATACAGGTCAATCCAGAAAATTACGAGACCTTTTTGTCACCTTTAGAAACGCATGCATACAGGAAAAGTACTGCAACACTGTTTGCTTGAAGCGCGTTTTCTTTCTCAAGGAAAAACGATTTAGGCCTTAGCAACAAAGAGAAGAAGTGCCCCGTTTGGTTTAACGCTGTGAGTTGGGTTAAAGAAATAAGACTTGCTTGATATAAGGAAAAAGTATGAGAAACAAAAAAGTGTTTGCTAACCGGAGACGCGCAGGTCTCCACCGTAGACCTGAATCACAAATAGGTATGGAAAATTTTTTATTCTCACAGGTTTGCAAGGATTTCGCACAGAATCTTTGAATTGTTGAACACCAAACTTGAAGACCGCATATCGGCTATTCGCTTAGGAAAGCTGGTTTAGTGAACTATGAGATTATGTATATGCATTTCCAGCACAGGTGGGTTCTCTGCCTTGGAGCAGGCTTGTGGACATGTTAGTCAGATACCGTGGGTTTCCGCACTAGGCACAATTTCCACGTTGCTTCTCCACAAACGATTTCCTGTTTGCCTCCCCCTCCCCTTCCACCTCGAGACCAGCCGCCGAGCCCTGTTTTTGGTATCTATTTGTTGAGCAGGTAGATAGTTATGAATATGCAAGGTGTCTCATAATCATTGTGACACAATACAGATCGCGTAAATCGAGAGTGTTGTGCAATTTCAAGAAAATGAGCCATGTAGAACTCTGATCAGTTTCTGCCAATAATATTTGACGGGTTGTTTCGTTCATAATTTTCTTAGAGATGTAATGATGTTTCCGTTTTTCATGCCAATGAGCTCGCCCCAATGATTACTATGTTCTTGAGGTTATATTTTTGGCACATTGACAGCAACGGCTCAACAAACTCACTAGTTTTGAGATGATCGTTTTGAGGATTAATTCTTGGTCAAATTAAGTATTGTATATAGAGGAAGCGCTGATAGAGCACTGATTAACTACGTTTATTTTTCTCCGTCTAGCTATTTTCTGCAACAGATCAACCTATTTATTGGTTAG